AGCCTAGTCAAAGCTTTTAGCCTATTGCAGTCCTGGCAACACTGTTGTCCTCGAGTACCGTAAATGTAGACCACCTATTTAGAAAGATGATGGTCTGACCTCCGACAAATGGCAGCGTCAGTGCTAGCACGTTACTATTACACTTCTTGTTAATATTTTGGGTATATGAGCCCAATGCTAACTTTAATCAGCGCCACTTTCTGACTACTAATAGAGCCAGAAATAGTACCAGCAATACCACCACTCAGCCGCACCCCTAGTTAGTAGTATTCAAAATACCAGTAGCAATAACAGCCCTGGTTTCCAGAACTCTGGCTTGACAACTACTGAAGGTGGGTATTTACTCAAAATAACTTTAAAACACATTCGCACTCCGTGCTGGAATCAAGGGGCTATGAGCAGACGTTCTGTAAAATCCAAGCTACAGATAGATACAGCAGTAGGCCTATAGGTAGTTTTCATAGACGGCAAACTGCACAACATAAGGGCATGGTAGGACTTGTGCTATTATTTTGTATAAACTGAAAGGCAGGCAGCCCAAGAAATGTAATTTCAAGGAAAGGCGTCCTTTGAGAAAATGAGTAAATTTATTCAGTTAATTTTCGACACTGGATCTCCAGGTCGTCGTCAGACTTGAGAAAAATGTGCAAAGAATAGTTAACATTTAAAATTGCTGATACAGTTATACAGTCATCTGGTGTGGACGTTAATTGGGAGTTGCAATTTGCGCCTCATCGTGGTGCACATGATTAGCAGTCGAAATGGCGTAATGGCTAATTGGCAACTGTAATTTGAGTCAGTCCGGGGTCAGTCTAGGTCATCCGTTATGGACGCTAATTGTGGTTCATGTTAGTCCATGTTTGTCGGCTGCAGTTTCTCCCACCTTTCTTTAAGGCGTTTGTACACTTCAGCTAACTCGATACGCCGGTTGATGCATGCATCATCGGAGTGCATGGCCTCAATAAATTCTTGGCCTTTTTTGGAGGGGCCAACTCCGACGATGCGTGTTTTGTCCCATGTAAGGGTATTTCCTGTGTCAAGACAAATTGCAACTCTCAGTTAACGTCCACACCAGATGACTTTACAACTGTATCAGCAATTTGAAATGCTAACTGTTCTTTGCACATTTCTCTTAAGTCTGACTACGACCTGGGGATCCAGTGTCGAAAATTTACTGAATAAATTTACTCATTTTCCCAAAGGACGCCTTTCCTTGAAATTCTTATTATCCAAATGTTAATCACTTTATCTCACACAGATGGGAGTGCATACTTCGTGCTGTCTTCTTAAAAAGCACACAGGCCGTATTATAGTACACTATTTACTAGCCGTGGTAAGCATGATTACTATAATTGGGCACGTATCTATAGCAGCAGCATTTTAGTCGAACCTAGTATAAACGTACACAGTTCGCGGATAGAGTTGAGAAGGTGAAAACCAAGGCAAGCTCTGCTGTGCCCTAAATATGTACTTACTCGGAATATTTGAAACCAAGATTCACACTGCTTGCTGAGATCAAGGGGTAGGAGCCCTAGCGTGGGCTAACTCAGCTTCACCTAGGACAACTGGTAGCGTCAGTGCTAGAACCAGTACTGCTACACTCCACATTGAGATTGAGGGGACATGATCCCAGTGCTGACTTTAATCAGCGTCACTTCCGACTTACAATACAGTGAGTAATAATACCAGCAAATACTATCACTCAGCTACACCCTAGGTAGTAGTATAAGAAATAACAGAAGTGGGAATAGTAATAGCAGTACCAGCCCTGGCTTCCTAGAGTCTGGATAGACACCTAATATAGGTGGGTGAGGGTAGACAGTACAGTAGTACCCGCGCAGAGTCTACTGTCACTAAAGGCTAAGTTAAGG